CAGGATACACACTGAAGAGATGGCGGATTATTCAACCGAATTTGAAGACAAGATCCTCTGCCTTTGACACACACACACACACACACACACACACACACACATCAGATAAGACTAAAGGAAATATTTACTCTATTTTACTCTAATATGTATATGTAATGTGGGCAGATATAAGACTCACTGTGATGCTGACTCGCTCCAGGAAGCCTCTCATGGCCTGGAGCTTCAGCTGAGGGCAAGTCCGTGTTCGCTCTTGCATCTCCAGAACACTTGCATCAGACTGTAGTGCGCTAAGAGTGCGAATTGCATCCTGCAGCAAAAGCAAACAGAGGAACATTAAGAACTGCAGCTTGCTTAAATAAACTGCTGTTTGAGAAAATTACTGAGCCTGAAAAAAATAAACTAAATGAAACTTTTTAAAGATGCACATCTTCAGTAGGAACCAGTGCCAAAGACAGGTAGGGAAGTCAGAAAGTGTTGGGAGATAGACTTACACATTTAAGCAGTAAGTGTAAAGTCAACCAAACACAAATCCTGCAGCAAATGATAGAGCAGCTGCTTTGTTGACTGTACTGAAAGACATTTTAATTCAATATAACCCATTGAGAGAGAGTCTCACAGCTTACCATTTCTGTCAAGCGTCTTAAGTCACTATCCATGGCAAGATCCTCTGCTGTGAAGTCCGACAATGCATGCAGAATCACTTTCAGTATAGCAGTTCAACACAAACACACCTCTCTGACTCCACCCCACGTATCTCTAGACCAACAAGTTCTCCTCCTCACACTTGGCAGAACATGTTTTTCAGCCTCTCAAAGATGGAGATTTCCTGCTTTTTTGAGTTTTATATCAAATAAAATGAGTATCATTGAGCTTTAGACAGAACAAGACATCACATTGTACTGAGAAACTGAGATTAACAGTTTCCACTATTTTTTGATATTTCATAAGCTGAACGATTAACCTAGAAAATATATAGAAAATGAAAAAAATCATTAGTTGGAGCTTTAAATTGAAATGTTTCGTCCACCAACAGGGATCTAATCTAATATAATTAACTCTGACAGCAGGACTTTAGCCACTGAGTTTGTGAAGTTCTCCTTACACTGACAGACAAACGGGATAGGATATGTGAAGGACACTTTTGGAGAAATCAGCTGTGCTAATTTATAATTCTCATGAATTCTCATTTTTGTTCTGATTGTGACCGAGTTGAACGAACCAAACTTGTACCAGCCCATTTCTTTATAAAAGGCTGAAAAAGACTGCACATTGTTAAACAGTGACAAGTAGACAGGCCACAAGTCAATTTTAGGGCAAAAATACCTGCTGTCAGGTGGAGCCACAGCTGCTTCCCTTGCTGGCGTTCAGCCAACAGAAAGAGGCTGTGCAAACTGTGGAAACAGGAGGCAGCCATTATTCTGTATTTTAGGGTTAATGTTTTAGTACATTACATAAGGTACTTTGTGAAATATGGAACAGAAATAAACTTGCCTTGACATTGGAATGCAACTGAACAGGCAACACAGTACTGAGGTAATTTACAGACTTTACAGATAGCTTTATTGCTAATGTATTTAACCACTAACTGCTAACTGTACTGCCATGGGCTAATTAGCTCAGTTAGCCCTGCAGATAGCTGACAGGGCACTTTAATCAGTCATCAATTCCATTAATCACCTCCTTGTCCGGCCTAGTGTAACCCGTGTCTCAGGTAAGTGTAACTGATAACTAATTTAATTAGCTATGAATTAAAGCTGGGCTAATATCAGAAAACTCTAGGTACGACTACGGAACCTGAAGTAGTAAAAGGTCAGCAGAGAACAGACAACACAAAACAGGTAAGTTTGAGAAATATATT